CCAACATAACTGATCTATATAGTTTACGTCAACTGATAAACGAACCAACAGGAGTTACCAAAACCTCATCAACACTGTTTCATTTGATATTTACTAATTGCCCAGATCTAGTGGTTTGCTCCGGTCTCTCACACGTTAGTGACCATAGTCTTGTTTATGCCTTTAGAAATGTTTCTATTGGATTGTCTAATAAGGATCATCTACAGTGACATATAGAAAGTTCAAACGCTTTAACTCAAAAAACGTTTGCAATGATATCCATTCAAAGAACAGACCCTTCATAGTTTTTGTGTTGGCTGTAAACAATATTTTAAGTAGCACATTAAACCTTAATACACGGCACTGGAGAAAAGCAGGTTCTTTTGTTTAATTTTGCAATTATTATTAGCTTTTATATATTTATTACCTAGATAAGCATCATTATTTCATATGCATATAGATATTTCAGTTTTTATTATATTTATTGTAAAATCCTGATGAGTCTACCGTGTTTAAATAAAGTTATCATTAGTTATTCATTTATTCAAAGTATCAAGAAAAAGAACTTTTTTAATAGTGCTGTTTAAAAAAATTGCAAATTCGCAAGTATGTAAGTCCCATGCTTTAATTATTTCAGCGATTTCATAGTGAAAATGATTTGAAAAAACTTCTTGTTACATTGTACCTCAGATTCTCTCACCAACTTCCTGAACGTCTCATCGTTTTGTTTTTGTTTTTTTCTTCCGGGACAACCCTCTGCATTGTGGCAATAATTACTAGCCATTTGTCATGAAAATGAACTTATCAATCCCAACACTGGTGCTTTTTGTCTGTTTTAACATCTAGCCATAGTCAGTGGAGCAGAATGGTTGGGAAACCTATTTCTACCTAGTTATAGTTTTTTGTTCGACTTTGTCCATTGTCCACTTTAACATTCTGTCACTCAAACTCCAGGCTGTTGGATTAACTGGGTATCTTCACGAGTGGTTGATGCATAACTTTAATGACAGATATCAGTGCACTGTGTTAAATTGCTGCACCTCTGACTTAGACCTAGTTCAATATGGAGTTCTYCAAGGATCACTCCTTGGTCCAAGGCTATATACAATCTATGTCAATGACCCTTTTGATGCTATTACACTTGGAGATGTGTACATGTAGAATCACTCCTTGGTCCAAGGCTATATACAATCTATGTCAATGACCTTCTTGATGCTGTTACACTTGGAGATGTGTACATGTATGCAGATGACACTTCAATATACTGTGAGGGGAAGATTTTGACCAAGTCTGTCTGCAAAAGGGGAGAACGAGGTAATGCACTCAAAGTTTTGGACCGGAACAGCCGGGGACAGCTTGGGCACTTACAGCGTGAGCTAGTTGTTCTGCTTTGTCCTCTTCAAAGCAGCAATATTRAAGTGTAAGTTTCAAGAGTCGTTTGTTAAATTTTGTGCTTAGAGCGCTGCACGATCTATCAAGTAAGCTAGCCCACATATGTGCCCACACCACACCCACATCAGAGACTTTSGCGATCATTTAACTGAACTAAAAACCGATGCGCACATACTAGAAGAAGAAAATAAGCTGATGCCGCAAACTCTCCCACAACGTTTAAGAAACTTAGGCAGAGTCATTAGTGCTGAGCATCGAATTGATTATTTAAAACGATCGAACTATATCMGTTATGAAGGACAATACTTTCACACATCGCTGAATTTCTCTCACTTCAAGTCGGAAAAGTTTACCAGCCATCCTCATCCTGTTTAACACGCTGGATGGAATCTGCAAGAAATGACTTTTATGAAAAGGTTATGAACACAATCAGTCCAAAGCATGTAGATTCTGGAGTTTATTTAGCCGATATTATTTCATTGTAGGAAGGACTGRAAGGAATGCAAGTAGGCAAGGTAATAGGTATTATCCGATCTCCCTCGTTGAAGGCCACCTTTTCCTGCAGAAGTTGATCTAGTAACAATTAGCAATAAAGTGCCATTATTGTTAGAAATGGAGCAAAAGAGACATGCAAAAGAAGAGGAACTGCAGATGACACAGAAGGAGTTAATGAAGAAAGGACAGGAAGAAGATATGACGGTGAAACTACTATGCGAAATTCTCGATGAAATGAACCTCACCAACCCAAAAGGTGCAAGGAAAGCGGAACTCATAAAAAAAGTAAAAAATGCGCGAAACAATACAGTGAGTATGTCCATAGCCAATGAATTACAACAGCTACTGCAAAAACTGGTTTACAAGATTCTGAATAACACGATCAATCAAACAAGTGACAGCAAAACCTACAGTGGCCTTAAGGGTATTATTATGATTTAAGAAAGGAACGTTTTTGGTCTCTTTTGCTACATCTTCTTTTTATTTTAGATATTCTTGGAATTTTTTTTAGACTTATTATATAGACTTGGTATATCTGACACGAATAGGTGTTTCTTTGTATTATCTTGTTTTTGCAACATTACAGTTTATCGGGTTGCTTTTATCCAGTTTCTTGTACGTCAGCGTTGATTTAAAATACCCAGAGTTTTCTACCTCATGTTATTCTGTAAACCAGATAATGTAATTATTACCTGCTCAGTTTAGGTTGTGTACTGAACCGAGTCTCATCTACTGTTATCGTTCATTAAAGTTTTTTTTACTTATTCGATATAGCTTTTAAACTTGTAAACAATTATGCATCTGATCATATATAATTTTAAAATGTACGACTTACATTGATTTGTAAGTATTGATTTGTATTGTTATCTGATGGTCTTGAATTTATATCTACAATCAATATCAGTCGATATCAGGTTATCGATATCAATTGATATCAATATCGATAGCAATCAATAAGGTTTCAAAGATTTCCGACATCGATTGATCATGGATTATCAATATCAATTGATAAATTGATATCGATTGATGTTCCGCTATCGACGGAAAAAATACTTASTCAGAGGATAAAGCCTATTCAAATACTAAACACTCTAAACTCAGGGGCCCTAACTCAAGATTATTCAGTGGCTCAAGGTAAATAATGGATCACAGTAAATCATAACCCTAGACTGAGTCGTTAGTTAGCTACTTATATATGAGTTTACTGTTTTAAGAAACACCTAAAGAACTTGCCTCCAGGATCAAGAGCTGAATGAAAGTAAACAGCATATCCCAACAACTGTTTGCTGACCAAGTGCTAAAGAGAAAGCAGTCAACATTTTTGGATATATTAAGGTTGGCCGGCAATACATGGGACAAGGAACGTGGAGTCATCTGGAATAAAATTGTCCAGTTTTTAAACAACAAAGATGACCAAAAGGCCCTAGTTCAATGTAAAGGTGTGTGATTTCAGAAACACGTTGACTACTGTATTAAAATTGATTGTTTTATTTGTAATATAGGACTCAATGTTGGCAGTCAGAGGAATTATTAGAGCGTAATTCATTTCTTAATTGAATTGAGCATATATGAGTCCTATCACTTTTTATATCCATAGCAAAAGCCGGATTATCCCTTCACTATCGATCTTAAATGATAAACAATGACACAAATGTATATACACAATTAAAGCTAATTGATTTCTATGTGGTTTTATCAGCTCAAATGAGAAAGCGCTTTAATGACGAGAGTGACACTCCTGTGAAGCTGGCAAGCCTGGACAGCTTATACATACGGACCAAAGGTAGACCTACGGCTACTCTGATGAAACAAGCTGCAGAAACACTGCACATGGAGGAGAAAGAGGTTATTATGAATATTGATATTGTCCTGTATGTGTATGTTTAATGGTGTAATAAAATATGAGGGAATTTAATTGTGAGCCATCCCTCTGCAGTTATCTTTGGTGCTAGGGACACGCAAGAGAATATTCTCTTGAGACACGGGGAAAGGGAAGTGTTTTGGTTGCTTCACACTATTTTATTATTCATTTGGCTCGCAGTCTAACAAGTATGTTACTTTGTTATGTTACTTTGTAGGTCGCAGTATGGTTTCAGAACCATTGAAACCAAGAGAAGACGGGGGAATATAAACCTGGCCGCTACCAACTTGCTAGCACCTCAGTTTAAGAAGAGAGTCATTAAACGTATTTTTTTTWAAAAAGACGTATCTTGTCTTCGTATAACATAATTTACAAAATGGATAATCATGGATCGATATAAATCGATAAATCACGTAAATCGATAAAAATGGATAAAGAAAAAAAAGTGTGATATCGATTTTTAATGATTGATATCAATCAATCAAGTAAATCGATTGTTATCGACTTATCGATTAGCAAAATCGATATCGATTTTTATCGATTGACTACATCGGGGTTGACATCACATGCGCTGTTGTGTTGATACATTCTTGTTAAACGAAAACTACTAAAGTGCTACTCTGACGAAAATCGCTCAAACTTGGATTCAGCTGAAACTTCCTACATGTAATACTCTTTAATACTCTTTCCTAATACTCTTTAAAGGTCCAACAATTACTGTATGAAGTGTTTTCTCAATATTCAGGACGAAAGTATGATCTTTTTACGATTATTTTTTGGAGTCTGTGACGTCAACGCTCAACATCGAACATCGCTCAATACATTTCTTTGTAGTTTATGATCAAAATATCAGCCCAATATGGAACGCCAAGTGTTTCAAAAATACTTATGCGCCACCTATAAAACTTCTGTTGACATATCTAAGACTTCCTACAACATATATACAAGACATGGGTCTTAAAACAAAAGTTTTGACTAAATATAATACTTGTTTATAAATATATAAGACATCTATCTTAAATTGAAAGTTTCGAGGTCTCAAGATAAAAGTTTCTATCAAATTAATACTTGTCCTGATAAATAATGGAGTCCCCCTCCCCCCCCCAAAGGATTTTTTTGTTTTTTGCTTKTTTTTCTATTTTGCATGGAAATTTTTTGCAACAAAAATTCTCATTCCCAAAGGTTTTGAATGGGATGGAAACAAACATAGCAATGCCTTAGCTGATTTGGTCTATTATAAAAACCACTTTCAACTTATTCATATCCAGTATTATATAATTTTATTTATCAATGGATGTACCTGTTTGGCAGTGCACCTTAATAATATGAACAGTAATGAGTTTTTGAGGGTTATTTTCTGTCTCTATGATGTATTCTATATTTTAGCATAGTGAGACTTAAATACAACTACCTATTAAAAAACTTATAACTTGGCTTTATTTTCAATATTGTTTATTGCACCCAACAGGCATGTCAAAGTATGAGGTTTCCTTGACAGATGTTCTGAAATTTATTACTGGATGCAGTCAAGTACCTCCCCTTGGTTTTTCTAAGAAGATGTCAGTCAGTTTCATCGGTGATTGTACACCAGGATGTCAGTGCCGCCCAACAGCATCAACATGTAGCCTGCACCTGAGACTTCCAACACACCTCCAATCATATGAAGACATGACCGAGGCTGGGATCTCCATGCTCAAAGAGTGTTTTGGTTTTGGTAGCATCTAATTTGTATTTAGTACATATTAATGTACATCACAGTTAGGAGTGTTCTTGACAAAATAAGTCCGAGCATTTTTATGGTTGTTGCCCTTGTTTGTTGGTAGCTCTTCTTATTTGGGTATTTACAGAGTTAGAGTTCACATACTGATATTATTGTTTACAATAGGCCCAATTTAACACTTGGTCTTTGTAAAGTAAGGCCAATATGTTGTTGTTCATGTTGTTTCTGTTGATTTTGATTCTGCCAAAATAGGATCTATATATGGATGTGAGTTAATAACTCATAGTCCATCAAATAATTCCCTTCTTATATTTTGCTTTATTACTATAATAATACAGTACCTTCCATTAAGGAGTATCTGTGAAGTTTGTAATAAGATGCACAGTTTGAAGAAATAAATGTATCCCATGATTTCCATCATCATGGAGAGGGTTCACAGTTAACTCTAGTACTATTCTGTCTTGATCATTTAAGCATACTGTTGAACGAGGAATTACCACGTGATTTTCTGYCTGAAGTTCTGGTTGTGGCTCATTATCATCAGTGCCATAGTTGAGAGGGTCAATAATCTCATCATCCAAAACTCTTCTAATAGATGGCTGATTTGAATTTACTCCTTGATAAAAACCCTCAGTCCATATTTGAACAGGTGATTTGTAGTCTGCAGTTCTGATTGGATGATTATTCCATTGCAATACAAACTCTTCAAGAGACCGACTGATCCTTGGTATGAATATGTAATGCAATGCATAAAGGTGAATTTCATTTAGAGGATCAAGTATAAACTGTTCCTCCATAAAATAGAATAAGCTCTTRTAGTATCTTCCAAAAGAGTCACCAACATCACGCCACAGACGTTCAATTCTTTGATTGTGCACTGACAGTCCAGTTATTACAGGGTGATGTGTATCTCCATATCTTGTCAACATCCACCTTGCTACATATATGTTCTCTGTTCCATGGTCACATCTTACTCGATATGGGACATTGAACTTATGAATTGCATGTGTAAAAAGATCTAATACCGTTCCTGCTTCATTATTGTTGCTGCACTTCAGGAATACAATTGTCCTTGAAAAACCATCTATTGCACCATGTATGACTAATCTCCATCTCACAAGCTTGTGATGTCCATCCAAATGCCTGTTGAAGAAAAATTAATGCTAAATAAATATAATAGGACATTAATTTGCATGATGGCATCVTTTCAACACTATTAACAGGTTTCACAAATTTTCTTTATTATTCAAATTTGTATTTCTACATGAGAAAAGCAAGACAAATGGTGAACAAAAGAAAGTGTTCAAGGGATTCTTATAGTAGAGGTTAATGACACCATACTAGTGCAAATATTCTATTGGTTACTTTTGTATTAGTGAGCTTCTGCATATTAGGGGGCAGAAGCAAAAAAATTATTGGGGGGACACAGTGAAATTGTTTTTATGAAAAGCATAAATATCTGAAATTGCTGAGTTTATGTTGTTAGCCAGAAAGCATCTGGCCCCCAGACAAATTATTGGGGGGGGCAGTAACCCCTGCCCCCCACCCCCCGGTTCTGCAGATCATGTTCTGGAGTTTCAAAGGCAGAATGCCAGTTTGGTGAATGTAATTATCAATTTAAGCTTTAATATTCATGAGGAGGTACATACGAGGTTCCCAAGATATTACTCTATAAACATACCATAAACTGTTTGGTCCAGYGACACTGTACACTCTTCTTCTAATGTGCAACCGCTGTMTCTGCTGCTTTCGTAGTGGGTCCACTCTAAGCATTGACTCTCTCAGCCTCCACCTCTGTACTATGATTCCTCGTCCACGAAGTGCACYTCGCATCATTACTTCTCCAGAATTAGGAGAGATGTCCATAATAGATTTGACAAACACATCAAGTTCTTGCTCAGTAATATCACTAAAATTGCATTGTTCTTGGATACCTAATTCATTTYGCCGTCTATGTAGTGTAATCCTGGAAATACCAAGCAGGTTTGATATTTTTGTMCAGGAAAAGCCAATTTCTCTCAACGSCTGAATTTGTGATTTGGACACCACAAAACGTGGCCTGCCTCGTGATCTAGGTTCACGGCTTCCAGACGTTTCACATCGAAAGCTTTGGTTGTTTTCCCGTTCTTCAAGGAACTGACAGCGTTCTTGGTATCTTGCCCGGAATTCCTCATAAACGTTTAGTAGTTGCAGCAAATGACTCATCAAATCTGCTCCTTCC